CCACCAGCCCCTGGCAACCACAATTCTACTATCTGCCTCTAAACTTGACTATTCTAAGTACCTTCTGTAAGTGGAATCACACACTATTTCTCTTTTGTGACTGGCTTATATCGCTTAGCACAGTGTCTTCAAAGTTCATTTTACTTCAGGTTATTTTTTAACTTTATTTTAAATAGACTTTATTTTTAGGGCAGTTTTAGGTTCACAGCAAAATTGAGAGGCAGTTGCAGAGATTTCCTCTATTATCAATATCCCCCCTCCCTCCTGAGTGGCACACTGGTTACAGTCCATGGTCCTACACTGACTGACACATCATCACCCGAAGTCCACAGTTGTACATTCTATGGGTTTGGACAAATGTCATGATGACATGTATACACTGTTATAGTATCATACAGAATAAATTCACTCCCCTAAATTCTTCTGTGCTCTGTCTAGTCGTCCCTCCCTACCTCCCTTTGCTTCATTTTCAAATGACTGATATAGAGAGCACGCCAAGCTTTGCACAAGTCAAGTCTCCAAAGGAGTCATTTTAAGAGAAGTGCTCTCTATGGATCGGTGGGCAAAGCTGCACAGGGACTGCACACTGCTGTTCTCTCTTAACACTCTAAAAAGATTCTGATAGGGAAAAAGCACCAGCATGTTTTTAACCTGAAAATGTACTTATTCTACTACTATTTTTTTTTTTTTTTGTAAGGTAAGAAAGAAAATTCCTGGCACCATTTCTTCTAGACACTATTCACCACACCCAGTTGAACTGGCCCTGACTAGATGCATTTTTTGGATCAGCTCTCTTTACCTGGGCTACCTGGCTCCGGGGATCCAATGGAAGCATGAAAATGGGCCACAGAGTGCTTGTTTAATCACCTGGCCAAAGTTCATGTGTGCCCAGACTATTATATTTATGATATTTAATAGTTATACCTCGACTATTGTATTTTCTTACGTTTGTATTATAGAAACCAAGTCTCGGTTCTAGAATAACATTTGCAGTGTTAATAACCTGGCGGGGTTTTATTCTTTCCTTTCCTTGTGGGGGCCAGAGCAAGTACTAAGAGGAAGGAGGTAGAGCAAAGCCAGGGAGCAGGAGGGTGGAGCCAGCTCAGGTCTCAGAAAGTCCTGCTTCTCTGCCCCTTTCTTTTTCTCATACCCCGAACTAAGTCCCAACTCCAAAGGACCACACACACTGCCTTAGCCATAAGTAGTGATTGTGCTTTGATTTATTTTTTGGCTCGTGTTTGGTACAGAAAGGAGGCAGAGATTAATAAAAAATAACAAGACTCCAAATTCAGAGCTGCCTTGCATGAAAGCCCTTTCCATGATCACAGAAATGAACTGGAGGAAGAGGAAGGTGGGTGTGTGGCTGGCAGAGGGTGATGGGTAAACACAGGGAAGACAGGTTCAACAAAGCATGGTTTGTGTGTGGTGAACTGCTATACCAATATTAAAACTTTAATGGCGCAGGACTATGGTTAGCGTGAAAAGAAAGCTGCTTGCCATCACAGCAACAAATAAACATCTCTATCCCCCCACAGCCAAAAAATAATGATTATTCCCCGCACCCCCACACAAAAAAGCCCACCTCCTTGGAGTCATATTTGATACTCAAACTTAGACAATTTATAGTCCCAAACACCCCAAATCAGAACATGGATACATTCAGACTCATTCAATCATTCATTCATTCAATAAATACAGTTGACCCTTAAACAACATGGATTTGAATTGTGCCAGTCCACTTATTCGTGGATTTTTTTCAATCAAAAATTTGAAAAAACTTGCAGGTGATCTGTGTAGCTTAAAATAGACAATATAAATTTACATTGATAAATTCAGAATAGTACTATAAATGTATTTTTCTCTTCCTTATGATTTTCTTAGTAACATTTTCTTTTCTCTAGTGTACTTTATTGTGACAATACAGTATATAATACATATAACATGCAAAATATGTGTTAATCAACCATTTATGTTATCAGTAAGGCTTCAGTCAACAGTAGGCTATTAGTTAAGTTTTTGGGGAGTTAAAGTTATATGCAGATTTTCAAGTGTGAGAAGGTTGTGCCTCAAATCCTCACGTTTTTCAAGTGGGAACTGTACTGTATTCCTACCATGTGCCATGAAGAATGCAAGCATGGTCACTGCCCTCCTGGACCTTCTGGTGTTTGATATGTTAATATCCTTTTATATTTTTATATATTACATTATCTTTTCTATTTTACAAAAGTCATCTGCTTAATGAGGTCTGCCCTGATTTCCCTACTTGATATCAAAACCTCCCCCTCATGCCTAGTGCTCTTGATTCCTCTTAGCCTGCTAACATTTCTCTTTTGCCAAAGCATGAATCACTACCTAGCATGCTGGATAATTAGGTCATTTTCTATGTGTATTGTCTGTGTGCTAGCATGCAAGCTCTAGCTGGGCAGGGCTTTTCTCTGCTTGGTTTGCTAGGATACCCTGGGTAAGCTCACAATCATGATTTGTTGAGTGAAAAAATGAATTTATAAACACTAGACCAACTGTGGTAATTCTCCTGAAACAAAAAAAGGTCTGTTCCAAAGCTGAAGGCTTTACCTCTAGAGACAGAAAACTGCTTGTCATTACTAATGAATTATCCTCACCCCGTTCAGCAAGGCTTCAAAGGAGGTTTTATGTTTCCTCATTGTCATATTCAGTCTCTTAG